TAAACATTATTAGAACTTTAGGTACCATTAATTTAGGCCTAAATATGAGTCATTATTTAATATGTAATTGTTATCTTATGGTTGGTAATATATTCTTTGAATGAAAAGATAATTTTCAATGATAAGTGATAAGATTACATTGAAATTTGCTTCCGACCTGTTGTTACATGTATAAATGTCACATAATACGTAAAGCCTACCAGCAGGCCCACACCAGAATCTAATCTCAAATATTGATTTCAATCGAATTAATTTTTGTACTGGTTTTTGACACGTAATCAAAACTATTAATAATTAAGTAACAATGCTATGTCGATTGGTTCTTTCATAGACCACAGTGTACAATAATTAGTAAAGTAAAATAGTAGATCGTCAGACCTGCTCTACACGTTTTAGTTTCTTTATTTTATAGGATTTATTATTAGTAGTTACGTCCTTACTTTTTTAACATTTAATTATTGTGACTTGACCTTTAAGTCATATATAGCAGATGTATAGGTAGGTAGGTAAGTGTATATACGCTACAACAATGATTTGCGTTATCGATCTAGCATGCGCAATGAAGTATACAAATAAAGTATTAGCCTTTATTCATTTCAAACAATCGAACAAAGTTATTGCAATCCGCTTAAGGCGGGTCCCACAGCCTGAATTTTAGATGCTTTTGGTAGTGGGCCACGCCGCGTTATGCCATGACAACCTGTCCTGATAACCTGTAGAGACGCTGTATCCCCCGATTACACATTATCCCAAATGTGTATATATTATATTTATATTGATGGAATATGTGAACCCGCCTGCATTAACGAGATACGTTGGCGTTAACATGATTATCACATCTGGGTTGACCATGTTATTTGATCCACCATGGGCGACAGCGTAACAGTCACTCCTATTTGGTCCTAAGATGTTGTAGGAGCGCCAATTCAAACCACAGTAGTGCAATAGAAAAACTGGAAATACAACCCTACTCGAAACTACTTGGTGAGTATGCTATAATAGACCTACTAATGTCCTAATGTGAATTTTTATACCTGGTGCTTTGAATAATATCATGAATATCAAAACCGATGGTAATTGTAACTGGTCTGCTCTGGTGATATCTCGGTGACCTTGATTTTGCTATATTTCAAAGTTTAAAAAAATGAAAGTATGATTGTAAATTATGCTAGGGCCAGTGAACTTAACGTTGGTCTACAAGTGAAACCCAACTCGCTCGAGGTCAACGAACTGTTCATTTCGCTGCATCCGTTGCAAATACTGCGCGGCGCATCGATGCCGCCACCAATTCTGTCGACTGAATACCACAATTTCATTTATCCAAGTTTAAGTCTAGTGGTTTTAATCGTAAAGAGACTCTAAGCGTGCTATGTGCAATAGAAAGTTGCAATTTTAATCGTAATTTACGTTGTACACATTTTTTTCTTATTTATACTTTGCTTATTTGATAGTGAGATACACAGAAAAACAGATACAGGTTGTAAAGTAAATCATGGTTGCCATCTTATTCGTATTTATAGATGACTCTACTGTAGAAATACCTAGGATAAGAATAGATGAATGCTCTATGACGTCTCAAGTTTTTAGGGTTGAAATTACGACAATAAAGTATGATGGACACTCGCTGTGCGAGTGCCCTAAGTCTAATATGTTTAGAAACAATAAAATGTTACACGTAAATACCACGATACATATGGTTTACATCAAATTAAATTTTATCAAATTAGTCATTGTAAGTAAACAAATAAATGTTGTTGACTCCTCGCATACTGACCAAGTTAAGAACACCTTTGTATTTTTTTCTGTTATATTTAAATAATTATGCTTTTCAAAATGTAATTACCACCGATATAACTTCTTATCTCTAAAGTTTCTGAGCCGAATATCTGTATGAGTCCGAATAAATAATTATTGTTAGTTCTTAAAAAACCCCTATGACAGACAGACCGAAAACATAAAGTTGGTGAGATTTAATGTGTGATGGCAATTTAATAAATTACATAGTTCATTTTGTAACTTATGATGATAGCTCTGCTGCAAACAATATATAACTTCATTCTGTGAAACCTTTTCTTTTGTAAGTACTAACCTAACCGCTCCCCTCTGATCTGCGGCAGCCGTTATAGCATTACTCAATGTTATTGATCGGACAAACAGAATCGCAAGGAGGTCCCTCATTTTTATAGTTCCAGTTTCAGACAAAAACCCCACACTTAAACATCGCTTTTCGTTAGACAAGTTCGAACATGCCATTGCTACAAACTATATTATTGCGCAATAAAGATTTATTTATTGAAACTTTTATACACAATTGACAAATACACAAATATATAGGTGCACATGGCGGACTTTTACTATTTGCAGCATTTCTAATCATAAGACAAAGGAGTTTCACGTGGGCGATGCATTTTGTAAAATAACTATATAAAAAAAGTCGATGGTTTATTACAGGAATTTATTTGTTATACATCTCAAATCGGTGTAAACGGCCGCGTTTTTTTAGAATTCATCCCTTGAAAGATTTTTTTTTAAATAAAATGTTTATTATTTAAAGTCATCTGCCAAATATTATGTTCCCCGAGTTACAGAGAAATATTGTAAATTATTATTTAGATGATACACGATTCGCATGTATTAGTATTTTCAAGACGTCTGCAGTCGACAACCCTATCTGGGGCGGTGGCAATGGGCTGTCCGCTGCCTCTCGCCCACGGGAACTGGTTTATGTTACGTTTGTCAACTTGCGGCCATTATAATGAAACGAATCGAAGTTAACTCATAGGTACGGCTAAGTATTTGTTGTCTATATATTTTTTCTTGTGGTTAATAATAATATTTAGTTACTTGTAAGTTTGTCGGTTCAATACGGTACGAGCACTTACCGTAAAAAATCCTTTGGTGTCGACATTGGAGTACAGGGAGAATGGGTGCTTTGGGGGTGCGGTCGGTGGTGCGAGGGAGTTATATAGTGACGCGATCACGTGTACATTTTGCAGCCCGTATTGATCCTGTCGTCTTTTTCTTGTTGTTAAGTGCGGCAGCCTTTCGTGATTTGCAAACATTTATAATGTCTTCTGATCAAAGTATTATTAAAAAGCATTAACTAGGTTACATAGTTTTCTTTACTTTGACAGTCGCATCATATTTTTTAAAGTATGTAAGTGGGTATTATATACAAATACGTACACGTATGAAATGGGATTTGCTACGAAATACGAATGCATAGATTGATCACTGTTAGTCAGGAACGCTGTGAGAACTATCGTCGCGTCATAGTTACCATTACCATACCACTCGTCTGCTCTGCTTTGTGTTGCCTCGTTGGGAGCGTGCCATTATTTCCTCGCTTCGTTTTATTTTAGATGTGTCTATTTTTGTATTAGGTCGGTATTTGTATCCTACATATTCATAATCGACAGCGTAATGTAACAATATAAATCTATTTAATATTTATTGCGGTAGAGTGGGGCTGGATTTAATTTTTAAACATGTGATTATTGTAGTAATATGTATTTAATTGTATTCATGTGACGTTTTATAACGTGGTAATATTTAAATAAAATCTAATATAGTCATTATAGTTGTCGCTACAGAACGCGCACTGCGTCCATCGACCCAGCTCGGTCGCACACACACAATGAGGCCCTTCGCCTATACGCGTTATTTAGAAACTTCTACATAGACATATCTATCTAACTTATATATATGTAGCATCAACTCGCATTGTGTAAGTACATAACATACCAAGTAATCCCAGTCTTCTTTCGTCGTTGTATTATTCACTGGAGAGAGTTACATATGGCATTCGCAAATTCAAGACTGTCTCTAACTTGTGTAGTTTTGTATTGTAATGGTAATTTAGGGGATGATAGGTTAAAAGGTAATCTAGTCAGTAATATTAGGTATAGCATACTTACGTTTTACTTGATTCTCTTTTGCAGACGATTTATCGAGATTAGAGCTTTATATTGACAGTACCTCTAACTGCCCCAACTGAGATAATAGTTGTGAAGGTACTAGGTACCTAAATATGTAGAAATAATATCTTAATATGGAATAACAATTAAATACGTAAAATATACGTAAACATTTATGTATCTACAAATTAACTCGATTACTTGCTTGATATATATTTAGTATCTTGATGTATATACGCAGTCGGTAACGTTTCTCTACGGTAATGTTTTCTGATTTTCTTTACACTTGTTAATTATAGATTCAGATTTGATCTACTTTCAGATATAAACTTATAACTAGACACAGAGGCATTGGTACGTTGCTACTCTACTGCTTATTTCGAACGCTTATTGGTTGGATCGTTTGAAAGTGGGTGCTGATAGCAAATGTGGCGAGTTGGCGACACTCATTACGGGTGCAAATCGCAAACCGTAATGGATGACGTGGCTCTGGCATGCACGCCATGATGTGAGATTATAAGCGACAGACAACCAAAGAGAAGAGGTGTGAGAGTTTAGTCGAGTTGAACGAGATGCGAGATTGTATGTACGCGCTCTATTTCGGTCGCGGTGGCGCACTCGTCGGCTAATCGGCGCGTCACGTGACGAGCTCCGGAAGGACGGGGGGTGAGGGCCCGCGGTTCGCGGCAGGCAGGGGCGTTGGAATGCAGTCACCATCGCTCGATGCACAGCACTAGCTCTCGCCGATTGTTCGTCAAGGCGCTTCTCAATGCTCCTCAAATATACCTATATATAAACAAACCGCTGCCACTGGTTTTAAATACTTTTCTCCCTAGAACAAACTGATAATCAATATATTTATTGATTATAAGAATTTAGTAATCTTTCGTTTATTATTTGTACATAAATTAGGTATTCTATTATTAATTGATTTATCCAGGTAGGTATATTAGGCATTAGGCAGGTATATACTGCAATAAAATGCATATATAATAACGTAATAATATATTTTATATAAGAAATCCCTTTCTAGTAAACACTAAATTAGATGTGATTCGGTAATTCTGTAATAAACATCCCCGATTTTATACATTCCGCTGACAAGAAAATGTCAGTGTCAAGTCATAACAGCGCAGCTGTTATAACATAGTAAATAAACAACATCAGTTGGTAGACGTAATTGTTGAACGTCGACAGGGGCAATCCTAATACTCGAGTTTTGTCGAAATACTTGCTCTTTATTATATTGCAAATGTAACCAGATTCTTATTCTTATTCAAGTTGGGATGAATTTGTGGTTCTACAGGCAGTAATTGCAGCGCGCGGATTGCAGGCGATGGCCCCTCGCCCCGCTATGCCGCCCCGCGCTCGAACACCGTAAGTAAACAGTCTGGTGTTTATCCGCGTCTCGCTCACACCGACCGCGTCGCGTCGCGCCTCTGAGGTGCACTCGCTGTTCCTATTATTTTCGTGACGGGTATTGCGCCGAAGCCGATTCCCGCATCCTCGCCCCCGAGACGCGAGGTCCGGTCTCGCGGCGGAGGCGGCGGCGGCGGCCGTTCGCATCGCGCGCCAGTCCGCGCCCGAGGCCGAATGTCGCATCGGTTCGCGCCTATGAAACTTTGTTACCTAGTTGTCGTCTCTGTACATCGAAAATGTGGCACGTTCCAGAGTACGTAACGAGTCCGTGTCACGGCGGGTGACAGACGGACGGGACGACAGTGCCGGTGTTTAGAATTTAAACGGAACAGTGACGTGTGGTGATAAGTGAGCGGATTGTGTATTAGCGTGCCCATGCTACACGTGAATGTGGATGGAGTGCGGAGTGGTGTCGGAAGATGCATTTCAAAGAGTCGTTCGCCATGAGCGATCGACCGAACGAGCGCGGCCGCCGCAACTCCCGCTGCAAGGGTGGGTGTCTGCAGTGAATGACGGCCGCGACCACTCTGCTCGGCACTCGGCACACGAGCGCTCGGGCGCCCATAGCGTAGACTACCATCACACAACTCTACAGACCTTTTCATAACAACAAACACACTGCGCGCGGTGCTTTTACGACACTGTACAGTTAACACTGACAGTTATGTCAGTTCGTGGATACAACGAAGGGTTATTATTAGAGAAATAGCCAATTTATTGTTAATTTCAATATCTTGAACTCATAATACAAAATATGTTGTTGTAAGTAATTAAATACTCATTAGTGTTTAATACTCATACGGAGTGTTTATATGCTCTATTTGAAGTACATTATATTATAAATTGTGCCCGAAAAGTTAATTTTAGGTCAGAATATAGCCAGATATTTTCTAAAAATTTATTTAGTTTTCTGAAGAAAAAAACAAGCAAATATTTACTTACTGACCTTCAAGTTACAAAGCAGATGAAATTAGTAATTGGGCCTTTTACTATGTATAGCAATGTACCCTATTAGATCGACCTTAACGTTATCATACCTAAGTGCCTATTGTAGTTCGTTTCCGGAGAACTTTCTACGATAGGTTAATTCACCTGATTGCGTTCTCCTCCTTTCATCCCTTCAACGCAAACACTACCACCGATTTATCATCATAAATGGGATCTAGGCTCCATGACGAGATTAACATCTGCAAATCAAGTAATCTATATATTAATTTGTTCTGACTAACTATCAATTCTTAACCAAAATTTACTATGTAGATGCGTATTTTTATATTATAATGTAAGCAATTTTTAAAGTACTCATGAGAAACTGAATAAATGATGCCCATGAAGGTGTGCGAAACAGCTAGTCTTCGATGCAAATAAGTCCAACCCATATTTATATCAGAATGCCCATGGTTATATTTGAGCTCACCAGTAGCTCATTTTCACCAAAATATTATATTGCCATGATTCTAGCTTTATCCAATATCGATAATAGCTCGAAAAATTTATTACAATTGAAACAGAAAGATTATCTTAATGCTATATTGTGTACGAAGCTACGGAGCATGTATGAATGAGGTCATTTTTTAAATATAATAAAGTGCAATAAAAATCCTAGTAATTACCTTATAATAACTTGCTACGATCTTTTACGTACTGTTTATGAATATTAGTACCTAATAGTTTATTATTATTAAATAATATATAGATAAATAGTTTATTATACATAATTGAAAGACCGTAAAAATACCTTTAAGACGAAGGTGTTTTTTTCAAGGCTATATATTTTTTTCCTAGCCATGTACTTTTAAAATAATAGCCGATGCTAGTGTGACTTACTCAAAATGGTTACAATTCTAAGACATTACTGTAACGTAGGTATATCTGTGATCTTGAAAATAGTGACATCAGTTATTTTGCTTATAATTTTAAAAGTACATGTCTATCTTCTTTTGTGTTTCTGATAAAGAGTGCTACCTGCTCTTTAACATTTACTACCCGATTCAGTTGTGTTGGGATTATGGTTATTGAGATACTTATGTAATATTCGTAGATTGTAGGCATGGGATTATTAGTATTGGGGACTAAATAACCCTATCAATTTAACCATCATAAGGAAATCCATTCCTAGTAAATTTACTACGACCAGATATTGAATCCAGGTAATTTTATACTTACTCTAGCCTTTTCCACTAGTGCTCGCCAACGTTACAGTATTGCGGTAGGCTATTCTATAATAAGATGATAGAGTATGCCTAATAATAGTAACGTTATTTTTTTTTTGTGTATGATAATGGAATGGTGCACCCGCCTGCGCTCACGGTTTACGCTGGCAGGGCACCAGTGGAGGATGACAAGATGAGCATGAGGTCAGGTCAGTTAGCCCATCATGACAAATTCACCAAGAATTCATCACGATGGTTTCCAGGGGGAACCACGTGGAGGTCGACCTAACATGGTACATTGTTAGCAATGGGAGTTACTAGTTCCCATTGCTAACAATCCCCTTCCCCCCTAGTAACGTTATTATAAACACTGTTTTTTAAAAAGTAACTGTACCTTCATTTGTGTAGATATATGGAAATCATAGGTATTTTTAATAATCCGGGACAATTCGCACAGCATCATCTAGTCCCAGACTAACTAGAGCTTGTGTTATAGGTGCTATAGAACTGATAGAAATAGTTGAATACTTTTTGTCCTCAATTATACCATTTACAATCTACTACTAAACATAGATTAACATAATAATAAATCAATTGAACACACATATATGGCCGTTGTTTCACTTAGTCTGGTGCGGGTCCAGTGGTTTTCCTTTGGTTCCTTGTCGGTTCTTCGAGCTATCTGGCAACTTCAACTTGCAATCTACAACGGAATATTAATTTGTTCAATAATAAAGCATTCTATATACTGTTGCCAATGTCATAGCATTTAACTTTGTAGGAAGAAGTAAAAAGTTTCGTTTATTGGCTCTATTAAGGTCTCTAATTAATCATCTTATCATCTATATCCATAGAGCAAAATCTCGTACGAGATGATAGGAGTATACACATGTGCTCGTATCGAAGGACAAACATTTTTGTTTATTGCCATTGTTGCCGCTACATCTACTTAACCCTGTCACAACCATTCCCAGTCACCCATACTAGCGACCCGCCCTGGCTTTGCTCGGGTATTTTATTTAATGTATACACAACTTCAAACCGATTTATACCCCAACCTTCTTCAGAATTGAATCTGCTTGTGTATTAAAACCGCATGAAACCACAGTCAGTAGTTTTTTGGACTTCCGTGAAAATACAGGCAGACGTGGCGGAAGGAAGTAACTTTATTTTATAATATGGATAGATTAATGTCGTATGGAAATGTGAATTTATATATTTTTTACTTATATGAAACTTAGTTTTAAGTATTAGTTCGGTATCTCAGGTGTGTTCATATATATATTAAATTAAAAAAAAATAACGATCGTAATAATCGTTCTACTGTAGTGTTGGTAGTCTAGTACTTTTTATTGTAAATAATAAATTATATACTAATCTTACATAGATTAGTATATAATTTATTATTTACAATATAATTTATATTGAAATTAAATATGAAAGAACAAAATCCAACAAACAACAAAATTTTGGGGTGGTAGTAGGTCTAGGTGGGTATTTGCTAACATCACCCGTAACTAACCCGTGATGTTACTCCTACTAGTACTACTTGTACTTACTGTAGCGCTTGAACATTACACAAACTATGTACTAACCGTACATAGTTTGTTAAAAGGGGCTTTTTTTTATTGTTTATTTATGATAAATGTTAAAATTTTATAAGTCATGTTAAAACATTTCTTATAATACGACTGACAATAAAAAGTTCTCCATTTATCGATATTTTTTACCTTTATATTTTGCTATTTATCATTCAATACTATACCTAGTAAAAATAAATACATACTTTACGTTGTTTCGATTAATAGTTTTTTTTACATCGAATACTAATATACATTACATTCCTTATTCATTTTTAGGTCAATTTGTGTGTTTCTGTCTTTTTAAAAAATGAATATAATATATTAAATTCAATAAGAAAAAAAAAACAAATTAATCACGCGGGCGAGTCTCAACAGCGAGAGTAACAGGCGTCAGGGGTGATGCGGTAGGAAGAGGCGTAAGGGAGGAAGGGTGTCGCAAAGGATGGAGGTGAGATCATAGTGGCGAGTGGCCCGGGGAGGCGATCGATATGTACATTGAACATATATACGTATATAAATATGTATGTATATATAAATAACCGTACCTAACTTCTCGCAACTCGACTGTCTGCTCCAGATACTGCGCCAAAAGCCCTCCCCCGACCCCCCCCATTGCCAATTCTTATAGAACGAACATTCTTTGTACCCACTCTAAATTATTCAAAGATATTATTTTGATTAGATTATCTAGTGTAGGTACTAAGAAAAAATATACGCCTACCCAATATGGTTGCTTAACTGTCTCTTACCACTTAACTTGCAAGTAGTGTAATCAAAATACAAATAGTATTATTATTTTATATTTGAAGGATTACGATTTTTTTTGTTAGATATTAATTTCAAATATTTTAATATTTCAATAATTTATTATTTCAAATATACGCTGGTAATATTGCCTAACATTTATTTTAGCGTGATAAACCAATCTGTTTTTAGACCCCAAGTGCTAAGAGGGCTTGGACTGGATACAAATTTGTCAATGACATTTATTTATTTTGAATATCTTTATATAATATAGGTGTTACGGTACGATGGGTTTTATTTTCAAAGTATAATATAGTGTGAACAAAAATTAAAATTTATTAAATTGTAACGAAGGCGCAGTGACAGATTTTCGGATTGACTTGGGTTGTATATTAAAAAGTTTTGAACCGATCGTACCCAAATTTGATACTGACTGCGTCGTTCTTTCGACTTGTCGTTGGTGATAATCCATAATAGGAGGATATTAATTTATTTTCTTCATTTACCGACACTTTCTCACTTTTAAATTTCGTTTGTATTTAATACACTTAGTTCATCGGATTCACGGATGATTTTATTGTAAATTCGTTTTCAAGATATGCAGAATAACACATAAGCTATAAATATCGTGCGGTTGAAAACGCGAACAAAGCTAGTTACCAATAATTTTAATGATGACAAGGTACAAAAGCGTTAATACATTTTTTTTATGTTTATGAATTAGTGCATGTGCCTATTCATAATGTTTAATTCGTGACAGTATGAACATGAAATCAGGTTATTTAGCCCAAAATGACAAGTTCGCCAGGGATAACCAACGTGGATTATAGGGGTCGTGTCGAGATAAACCTGGGCAACCTATCGCAAGCGATGTACAATATTGCTTATAATCGGGCCTTTTGTCCCCTTTACTATAAGTCCTTTCCCTCCAATGTTAACATATTATTACTCTAACATCTATTACTTAGGTAGTATAATAATAGTTATTTAAACTATAATATAATGGTTATCAAAGCGGAGGCTTTGATAACTTTGAGTTTGACTCCAATGGCCATCACGTTGTACTCGTACTGCTGCTATACACTGTGCAAGTCTGTTGGTACATACTACAGTAAACAACTTCAATCGTGCAAAAAAGAATCTATAGCATCAATAATAATACATTCAACCGATTCCAGAAACAATTATCTAAATCGGCACAGAATTGGCAAAGATGTCATGAAACACACACATAAAACCGGTACACCTATGGATTCTAAAAAAGAATAAAAAAAAGGAACTTTTTACATAATACCATACCCATACCGGCATTGCTCAGGTAGTCAGGGCCTAAAAATATGTTAGAACGAGTACGATAACATTTACAAATCCCTCTATTTGCTTTTTTTTGGTATATATAATTAAATTCCAATATTAAAAAGTTTGTAACTGGAAAAGTAAATACTACAAGAAGATTGTGTCGAACAAGGTTTCATTTTTTAGCCATTTAAGTTTCGGTTCCTAATATGCAACTGATTGTTAATTCTGAATATTCGAAGTATGTACCATCTTTATAAAGACTTTTGAAGTATATGAATAACTACCAGTTTACAATAAATATGCGTATAATCACATGTAAGACACGTACCGCAATATTTGGCAAATTACTGCGCATATTACATACATGATGTAATACGTCATAGAGTCAACAAACATGGTGATGACTAACGAAGTCTTGAGATGATTTTAGCAATGTTTTTATAATATTTGGAGATTGTGGTTGTTAGATTTTTTATTTGTAATTTTTCTCTGCAGGTGCCGGCGTCAAAATGGAGCACTTCCAAGCGGCGCTCGATCCTCGCAAGCAGGAGCTGCTGGAAGCGCGCTTCCTAGGCGCCAAGGTCAGTTATGTTTAATAGAGAGTAGTATTTAGACTGAAGGTAAACTTTGTACGAAGTCGTCTGCGTGGGTATTTCATTCTCAACTATTGCACCCATCAAGCTTTGTTTAGGTTGAAGGCACATAAGGCCATGAAATTACAGGATAATAGGCATGGCATCTTAGTCTACAACATGAGGGGTGATGTGATGCCCCTGGCGTTATTCATGTTTATAGACGACGGTTTTTTTATTTTTATGGATGATAATGGAATGGCTCACACGCCTGCGCTAACGGTTTACGCTGGCGGGACACCAGTGGAGTATGATAAGATGAGCATGAGGTCAGGTCAGTTAGCCCATCGTGACAAATTCACCAAGAATTTATCACGATGGTTTCCAGGGGGAACCGCGTGGAGGTCAACCTGACATGGTACATTGCTAGCAATGGGGTTATCAATCCACATTACTAACAATCCCTTTCCACCCTATAGACGACGGTTACCAATTACCATCTATGGATAGATTCAATTATAAAATAATTAATATCTGGAAGGTATTTTTACAATTATGCAAATATCTGGGTAAACATATTTACCCTCACATTACAGTTCGCCAAACATTTTCTTCGGGAAACAGTAATATAGGTTGTCCTGATATGGCGAAATCATAAAACTGCAGTTATGGCAAAATAAAAAATAATATGCCTCTTTTGTTTTCTAAACGCTGTAGAGGATGAGGATGTTTCAGATGACGCAATTCCATATCTTAGGAATTTTTAGAATTAACGTCATGCTAATTAAAATTAAAAGGCAAATGAAAAACTTTATGAAATTTTTACTTTTTTGTTAACAATATTTCTATATACAAAAGTCATTAGTAACCATTACAATGTTTTTATTCTTATATTTATTTGATATTATCCGATGTATACAAAAGGAACTCGCTGCGTGGTGGATTCTATTTCTGCAGCTAAGCAGTTTGCTTTGTAAGCTATTAGTAAGATACGTTTGTGTGGCTATAATTACAGGGTACCAATGCGACACCTTAGTTCTCTAGACTAGCAACGCATGCAGGATACCACTGGCCTAACAAATGAATTTTGTATCTAAGTCCGAATTTCTATTCATGTTTATATTAATATACGCTTTCGGGCCTCGGGCTCGGACCTCGGGCTGTAGATTTAAATTAAAAATGCGTGTTTTTTTCGGAGGATCACGCGGCAGAATAGATGCAGTTAACTAATGTTGCAATCGATCATGATGCTTCATGTGTTGTATCTGCGGACTAAGTCGGTTGTGTCTGAAATATTTCTTGCTGTACTTTAGATAGAAATAGAAAAAGCAACGTATTATTCCGTTACGGTTTGCGGTAGACAGTGCAGCTAACTAATAACTTAGAAGATGAGTCTCTATGTAACCACCATTCTAATTTTATGAAAAGGGTTAGGAATACGTTGTATTATTAATTTGTAATCGCATGGAGTACAAGGTATTCGGATATGTGTACGATATATTCTACCATTAAAATATGTTTAATACATATAAATATAACGAGCCACGTTATTATGCTCCATCCAGTTCTTGTACTAGGCAGTCGCTTTCAATAATGTATGTATATATTGAAAGAGACTGCCTTTGTTGAAATCAAAGGCGAATACGCTGTTGTTTTCGAAACGATTCTTTTGTTCTTATATTTCCTGCGCTCAGTTGGAACGGTTTGTTCAGATTATCGGTAGCGCAAGCAGAGGACGTTGCTATGTTATGTATCATTGATCTACGTCACCGTGTACCATATTCGCGCGTACGTGTGCAAAATAAAATGGCCGCGCATTAATGGAAAAATAAAAACGATAAACAGATATCTGTTCACGTAATAACTATCCAATCATTATCATTATTTATAGTAGCCTATGTTCAGCAAAGTGGAAAATTGGTACTAAATTTATATTGGAAAGGACTTGTGTTACTGTAGGCATTCATTTTTATAAATTGAGAACAATATGGGATTTTATTTGTCAAAACTAAAAGGAGCAGTTAGTTTTGTACTCTGTATTTTGTTTTTAAAATGCCAGACTATTAAAAGTATGTATAGTATTGACGACAGTAAATAACCGGTTTTCAATATGTATTGGTATAAAAAGTCTACAAATAAAATTAAAACCTCTTATAACTAGGTACCTCAAATAATTACGAGTGACAAGTACAACGCAATACAGACTATTCTCGAGACTCGGCTTGAGTGCCGGACAAGTCGACGATGGTAATCGTTAATCGGTCCGTGAAATTCATACGAGCATGGACATGATCGACTTACGATTGCTGGCAGATGAACGAGTGGAATATTATGTTGAAGTCACGTGATTGCTAATCTATTGTTGTGGCTGTGTGTTGTGTAGCTACCTGTCCCGCTATTTTTTTGCTCAAACGAGCGTTCTTGGTGAGATAGCGTTGTGATGTAGTAAATATGTAGGTAATTGTATTAGAATATATCTCGTCCCCGTCAGGTCCCCACCGTTTGTAAGTCTCGCCCCGCTCTTGTCCTATCAACGAGTCATTCACTGTGCGACAGGGTAACAGTTTTGTGCGTTGTTTAATTTTATTTATTATTCAAATGATTTGGCTTATGATAATGTCGCTTCAAGTATGATTTCAATGAAACAAATAGTTTAATTAGTGAACAATTGTATGCTTCTGTCGATCTGTAAAGGAATATTCTAATACCGCTTTCTTTCACTAGGTAGGTGAACATAATATAACTACTTATTAGACCTGTACTTGGTAGTCTTTATGTTCCGCAAGAATATAGTTTCGGAACTTGAGAGGGATGACTATTAAACAGTGATTTCGTCATTCGACGACAAGATGGCGGGTGTGTACATAAATAGTCTGCTCGCAAATGCACGTTTGTGACTTATCGACCTACAAACAGATTAGTGCTCTCTCTGTCAGAAGTTCCGAGCTTTATCGAAGTGTCGATACGAATTGCTTAGTAAATCATACGCTTATCATGTTTGTCTGTCTTTATTATTATCATAGAGTACAAAAATCACAGACCTTGAATCTGTGACCATAACATAAATAAGTGCTCACTGGTATTCAATAGTAGTTAATTATGATATAATCACAAACTTAACTTTTTACTTATGTTATACGTTTGAATAGTTGGTTATTTCTTGCAAGAGTACTAAGTGCACGGATTTATTAAAATAGACTACTTTTGCCCTCCACACAACCTCATCAATTTTTGTTTAATAGGTATGAATACGTTTACAAAGTGCTATGAGAATTTGTGTATATATAGAATAGAGTATTTTTAATACTCGAATGAGCAAAATTTTCTGTTCTTGCATCGCCCTTTTAGTTTGATATTGCCTAATTCTACTTTCTGGCTCTTATTCTGTGCACTTTATTCTTTTCGTCTATTATTTTTATTTACACTGAGCGCCTTGATCGCGTGTTCGCAGGTGAGCGCGAGGGAGATACTAGTAGAAACTCAACGAGCCTCCGAATGTAAGACGGTGAGTTAACTAAGCGTATTTTACGTATAAATATACTATACGAATTGTTCCTACTGACTATACAACCAAGCTAACGCCACGCATTCTAAATATTAATTTAGCCTTCGCCATTTTAGTTCCTACACTCACAAATCGCGATTGTGTAGGTTTACACTTGTGTGTGACGAGCCGTTGCATGATGGCATACGTTAATAATAGACCTTATTGTGGAGTGTCATGCCACGTTTACAACGCCAGTCACCTTGATATCGATTAGGCTTTCGTCGACAAAGATATAAGGGAGTATTGATTTTCTTGTAAAGTGTGGGTGGTATTATGTTTTCGTTCTATTATTAGGTATATTGGGGTAAAAATGATTGTAGTACAATCTACCTTTTATAATTTCATTAATTTCTTCTTTTTCGTCATTCCTTTTTAATTAGTGAGCTATTTAACTAAATAATACTAAATAAATGGTTATAATTTTGTGTTGTGGCACGGTTCATCAATCAATCGATACTTTCATTCCATTACGTTGCAAATTACAAATAATAAATGCTGTATATTCACAAATTATTACATTGGTTTTCATAATTATTAATTATAATGTTCTTTTTTTTTCAAATATATTAAAGTTTTATTAAAATACTAATTAACTAACATAGTTACTGAAAGAATTGCTTTCAGGGGATGACGTTAATTATTATACGTATACTTTTATTTTAATCGTGTGAAAATTTTTCCAAATACCCCAGAGGGATGACTCGAGGGAGTATGGGATTCTTATCTATCTATATACTAAAAAGCCACACGGTATACCTAAGAGCGCTATCACGTTACATGAATAACCTGGTTTAATTCTGAACAAATATACATAATATTAAACGCCCGTTATAATACTCATGAAACTAAACTTTCGGAGCGTAGTCAAAATATAAATTTAATTTTTTAATACATCGATGAATCAAAATTACACCAAAGCATATTTCGCCTGTATGTCCTCTTTTGGAAGTTGAAACTATTATTGGATATAAGTTTGTTTTACCCATTACTACTACTGTAAATCTGTAATACATTGTATTTATTACTTCTTTATTTGTGTAGTTTTGTGTGTATACTCATTATTAATCGTTGAGTAGGTATTTCGACAGCACAGGCGTACACGTAATATAAACAAAACTATAAATAGTTGTTTTACAAGTCAACATATAGTATATGTACCTACGGTTCATATAAAATACACGTCGTCTAAACTAGTTTGTGATAAACTTTTAAAATGTATTAAATTGCCAATTTACAATGCCACTCCTAACGGTTAAGGATACTTACTATACCGATAGATAGGTAATTTAAATTTGACATATTTTCCCAAGAATATTAAAATTATTTTAAATATATTGTGTTAAATTACTCTCATGCGAATATAGACTTATTGTCTTATAAAAATAATATAGGGTTATTCTATACCTAACAATAGTTACTATAGCTTCTCTAATGTACCTAGTCTAATTTTATTGTTTGATGAGACTAAATATTGAATTGGATACCTACCTACTATTAATATAGTAGATATTATAAATGTTTATTTAATTTCGACATTTTTATAGCTGCTTGAATTATTGATTAATGACACTGATAGATCTTCGAGCAGTTAAACATCGCTTGTCATAATTAATGACTATTGGTTTAGTAACTATATAAAAAATAAATATAAATACAATTGTTCCTTACAATTGTTATGTATTTACATCATAATTTTTAGAATTGTACTTTGGACTTTGAAGAGAGAAAGAGTAGAAGTAGTAGTGCAATTACCATCTTAAAATTCTATCCATACTAATGTATAAACGTGGAATTGTATGTTGCTCTCTTTGTTACACTTTTATGACAAAACGGCTGATTGGATACTACTGATATTTGATACGACCGTTTTACGAGGACGACATAGGACCTTTTATCCCAAAAAATAATCTAGCAGGGGTGAAATAGGGTTTGTGCCGACGAATCTGCGGATGACAGTTACATAAAAATTATAGTGTACAATGAAAATGAATTGATTTCTTATGTATTGGAATATTGGGCATATAAGTCAACGGCCCACCTAATGGTAAGCGGTAACCATCGCTTTTCTACTTTTTACATCAACAGCACTTATTACATCATGTTATCATGTAACATCTGTGATACCTCACGCGTTGTCATTCCAGAGGATTAAGATGTCATGCATCTTATTCTGTAATTTCCATGCCTAATCTGCACTCGACCAGCTTACAGAGCAAGCTGCTTGGATGTGGATTATTAACCAACGGGGTTAATAATCCACTAGTAGTGAAGTACCACGTCCGGTTGACTTCCACGCGGTTCTTCCTGGAAACCATTGTTTATCCGTGGTGAATTTGCCACGATGGGCGAACTGACTAAACCTCATACTTATCCTCCACCAGCGTATACCGTTGGTGCAAGCGAATGCACCATACCATGGTCTTTCCTTAAAAAAAACCTTTTACCAGTGAACCTGTGTAGTGCAAGTGTGCCAGTTAGGTCTATTCGTCCCGTAGCGTGCGAGCGGCCCGCCTACCGTGTGACTCGGTGCCGCCCGGCCGCGGGGTCAGCGACACGCGCCGTGCCCGCGGCCGATGTCGAATGCCGACTTCTATATTACGAAGCCACTTGAAACTAAATCAAAGCATGTAGTTACGTAGTTCTTTTTGACTATTTTTTTAATTTTGTATCTGTTTTGGGTCACTGGTATCTCACACTCACACAGCTAAATAGATATTGTAGACAGACTAGGTTAGGATTTTTTAGAAGTATGTTGTTATTATATACATATATGGTGTTTTCGAAACGATTATTTAAGTATACAAAAAAGATTGGCTAACCGTTATAGTGTAGTATAGTTAGTAGGTATGTGTTGAAAAAGTAGTTGACTAAACGACTTTTTTAATTTATTATTAACGCTTGTTTGTCATCAACAAACAAAATACGTTAAATTTTAGAGAAGATATCGACTGGTACTCTAAAATGTTTTTGTACCTATGAAATAAGTCGATCGCGGACACATTTCAGGATTTTGAAATGTTAATTTGAAGCTTTCTATCGTGTGTAACTTAACCAGTTAGTTCATAAAATATATACAAATAATGTACTTACATTTTTATCTACCTATATTTTGTTTTTCTATATGATCTGCTGATTATTTTCATCTATATTACCTTTTAATTAATATATTATAAAAAGATAATTAATTACCATTACATTTTTAAGTTACCATACATATTTTGTCAGCTTTATGGATCATTTATTATAAAAAGACATGACCGAGAATGTTTACTGAGTATGCGTATTTACGTAGTTATCTATCTACCTATACAATCATAATGACAATATATAATATGTAGGTGTCGTCTAAGTACCTTTTAATGTATATTTTGCTGTTTGCTTATTCAGTTATTGAATTGTAATACGTGACGTTAATTTCTGCATCGAACATAACCAGTTGGCATTCAACATCGAGCATTTGTTTGGAATCCACTATGTAGGTGTACAAGTACGCCGGTCGGTTGATCCGATATATAAACTCGTTTGTACGTAGATATACGTTTATGTATTGCATGTATCTAGTGTAGCCAGAGGTACATAGATTAGAGGCAGAGCTGGAAGAGTCGTATCTCGTACGACAGGCATACTTAATTCGCACTGAGAGAAAGAGAAGTAGGCACAGCGCAGTGTTCAGTCAGTCGGTTTGCACACTCGACGCGAAGGGAAATTATAACATGGCGCACACGGCCTCGCCCCGCCTCGGCTACAATGTGCCGTCAAACCTCATTCCACCGCACCGCTTAGCCGCCCGGTTCCGCAGTTATTTTTACACAGCCCGACCTTTCGCACCGGTCGTCACCACACTCCAGCATAACTAAATTTATCTAGACGCACGTAGCACACACATTAACGATCGATCATAAGTTTTCACAACGTAACACATTCGCCGATGATCCGCTTCGGTGCTCGATGTACTCGTACATATTTCGTCGTAGTTTGGCTTTGAATTTACGTGATGATAGTAGCATACGAAACGTCCACTCGCGCCAGCAGCCGCGGAGGCAATGAACGCGCCGAAAGCGGGGCCGGGGCGGAATGGCGCGACAACCGGTGGCGGCGGCGGCGCGGCGGGCGGCTCGTCAGCTGAGCGTCACGCCGCGACATTGCAAGGTCCGTCCGTACTGGCTCGCCTGACCCACTGTGCCGCCCGTGCCGCTTCACTTCTTCGAAGATCATCTAGATTAAATGTCACTTCAGATCATCATATCATAACGATGTAATAATCTAAATCATAAATATATGGTTTTGTTAGAAATGTTCACTAAACATTCGAATGGGAATGCCGGTGGTGTACGGTGCGGCGGCATCTTATGACACGTCATATTGTGAATGGAGCGCTGCGCATGCCCGCCACGCTCGTCGTTAGCCAAGTTTATTTTATATTTCACTTTAGTGGTGCTATTAAATTTTCATTCTGCACTACGATTTTTATGAAGGACTAAGAAATGACTATTAGATTGCTAGGAGATGGCGAATCATTGATTGAATACAGATATTGTATTTACATTGACTTATACTTTACAAGGAATAGAGTAAATTTGTAAAAAAAAACCTTTATAATCATCTACTTAATCATAGAGAAACGTCATAAATTCGTACTGGTTTGTTGACCCCAAAAGCTTTCGACGTTGTCCAATTGGATCAATATTATTGTAAGCTATATCCAAATGTCTACTACTACCCTCAGCATTGAGGGTGCCAATAACGACGCTAGGACACTTGTATTATGAACAGAATTTGGATTGTGTTCATAATACAATTATTACAAGTTGAGTGTACAAATTATTTATTTCCAGAGCTTTTTCCTTTCCTTTTATTACCTTCTATAGAAACTTCAATACCGTAGAGACAACGTTGGTGCCGAATATCTTCAATGTAACGTTATTCATACCGTTTCCAGCATTAAGTCTTCGTTCTGT